TCACCTAGAAATTAGAGCTTTTTGACCTGTGGTCAGCAGAAGAAAGACAGTGATATGACGCAGATGGGGAGAACAGCTTCCTGGACCGAACAGAAGTTCTTAGCCATGGCTTCCCACACTCAGACCACTCTTCTCCCTGCATGGAGATGAACTCACCAGCCCTGTGTCTTTATTTTACAAGGAGGAAATAGGTACAAAGAATGGGGCTTAGTCAAAATTACAGGAAAGGTTGATGGTGCAGCTAGGACTGAAGTTGGGTATCCTCTCTCCCAACCCCAAAAGAATAGGAAGGCTCTGAGAAAGCCCCAGGCAGCCTCTGCCCCTACAGAAAGGGGCAGATGGAGCTCCACCTCCAGTCCCCAACAGGCCCTACAAACAGGAACATCCCTGGAGATCCTCTTGATTTCTTAGTTAGAGTGGGTGTAGGGGGCACCAACCTAAGCCTCAAGTTTCTCCTCAGGACCTGCAAAGAAGCCAGGACCTCACCTTTAATATTCCTTTGACTAACACCCCAGGATCAGCCTGGAAGCTGAGGATCAGGCCCTCTCCTTCCTTCCCAGCAAACGTAATAGGTGCTCTTGGGCCTGGACATTGTCTAGAAGCCCTCACAAGCAATCAGAGCAGCTCCCCAAATTCCCATGGTGAAGGTCCAGAGAAAATATTGTTCCAGACATTTTAAGGCCCTTGCATCCAACATGTGAAAGTCATGACTCGTTATACACCCTTTTATAAAGCTGGCAAACATCTCATGTCCCAAGGCAAAGGGAGCAACTGAGCAGGTGGGGACACAAAGGAAAATAGGGCTGCGGGTAAGACTCAGGTTGAATTCCAAGAAAAATACTGAGGTCTCAACAGCGGAATGGGGTTGTCTGGGCAGAGTACACTTCCATCTGATGGATCAAGAGGACAGACTCAAGGTTACAGGGCTAGTTGATGGTAAAGTAGGGACCAGAATTCTCAGTTCATGCCTCACCTTGCCAATGGAGGGAGAGAATGAAGTGCTATACAGACATGAAGAATTAACAATTTATCATTATTTCCTCCATTTAAAGAACAGAAAGGTTCCCAAAAATGGTGATCAATGGAAATGACCCAGGATTGTGCTTTACAATGTACCAAGAGTTAAATAGATGGCATCACTTAATCTGCACAACCACATTTTACTGATAACTTTTGGGTGGAGATGGGGATGGCCCAGCAGCCCACTCACTGGGTTCAGATCACACCTGGGCCACCTGATTCCAAAGCCTGAGAACTTGTCACTGAACTCTATCACTTTCTGCTTTATGGGGCAATTTAGGAAGGTTTTAGAATTTGACTGCTGGAGTGTGAATCCTGGCTCTACCCCTTACTAACTATATGAAACTCCAAAAGTTCATTCATCTCTCTATGCTTGTTTTCTGATTTGTGAAGTTCAGGTCCTGGTACTGCCTACCTCACAGGGCCATGAAGACCAGATGAGTTAAGTTAACTCAGCAGAAGTTCTTAGCACAAGACCAGGCAAATAACAAGAGAGCATCTATTTCAGCAATTGCTCTGTTGCCACACAAAGCAAATTTCTATCAGTGGAACCATTTTCCATCTGGTTTCTCTTAACAAGTTACAGCATCATTATGAGGAGGAATACACAGCCCTGTGACACAGGATGCCAAAATGCTTTTCTCGAATCATCTATGTAAGTAAACAGGGCAGTGTTCTGATAAGTTTGTAATAAGTCAAAAGACTGTCATTAACTGCAAATTCCCCTGTCTCCAAGCTGCAGTCAGGGTATATAGCTGGGAGTGGCCTTGCTTTTCTTCTTCTTGCTTATTATCTAGGAAACTTGTTTGTGCCCTTAGACCAACATCTCCATTTCTCCCACAACCAGCTTTGTTTCTATGAGTTCAACTTTTTTTTAGATCCACCTCCTACACTATTTGTCTTTCTCTGTTGGGTTTATTTCAGCAAGCATAAAAGCCTCCAGGCCCATCCATATTGTCACAACTTGTAGGATTTTCTTCTTTTGTGTAACTCATGAATATTCTATTGTATATTATATATACCACATTTCCTTTATTCACTCATTTGTCAATGTATACTTTAGGTTGATTCCATATCTAGACCACTATGGATAATTCTGCAGTGAACTCAAGATACTTATTTCATTTCCTTGGATTCATAACCAGAAATGAGATAGCTAGATCATATGATAGTTCTATTTTTAAGTTTTGGGGGAACTTCTATATTGTTTTCCATAATAACTGTGCTGTACCAATTTATTTACATTCAAACCAACAGTGTCCAAGGATCTCAACATTGCTAACCATCAGAGAAATGTAAATGAACCTCACCCCTGTTGGGATGGCTACTATCAAAAAGATAAGAGATGAGTATTGGTGAAGGGTGTGGAGAACAGGGAACGCTGTTCGGTGAGTTTGTTTTTGAGAGGTAAGGCCATAGCTTCTCTGAGTGCAGGTCACAGGGGGACAGCTCCACATACACCCCTCCCTCTCTGTATAAGATGACTACAGGTAAGCCTTTCACTGTAGAGCTAGGACATTCTCTGTTGAAGCCATAGCTATGTGTTGTGGTTTTCTAGTCTGGGAAGTCTATGCCTCTCTGGCAGCTATGTTTACTCAACGAAGAGTTTCTGTGATCACCATAAGGAGTGTCCTCTCTTTCTGTTTATCTGACATCCTTTGTCAGTCCTTTATACTAGTGAGAACAAGACTTTGTAAGGAAGGTACTCATATATGTACTCCTTTGCCATTTTGTCCATGGTCTCTCTCTCTCTCTTTCTCTCTCTGGTACCAGGGATTGAACCCAGGAGTGTTTAACCACTCAGCCAAATCCCCAGTCCTCTTTTTTATCTTTTATTTTGAGACAGGGTCTTGCTAAGTTGCTTAGGTTGGCCTTAAACTTGTGCCTCCTGCCTCAGCCTCCCAAGTAGTTGGGATTACAGGCATGCACCACCTCAACCGACCTTGTCCTTGCTCATGGTTTCTGCTGCTTATTTGCCCCACATCTGCCAGCGGCCTCCCTAGTCCTTCACTGAATCTTCATTCTATCCAAGTCATCACTTGCTGCATAAAAATGTTTCAGTCAATGATGATGTTGGTCCCATAGGTTATAATGGGGCTGAAAAGCTCCTATCTCCCTAGTGATGTCGAAGCCATCCTAATGTTGTAGTGCAATATATTACTCATATATTTTTGGTCATACTGTTGTAAACAAACCTACTGTGCTGCCAGTCATATAAAAGTATAGCACTGCAATTATGTAGTGTGTAGTACTTGACAATGATAACAAACAACTACTGGTGTATGTATCTACTCTACTTTTATCATTATTTTAGAGTGACTTCCTTCTAATTATAAAAAGAAGTTTACTATAAAACAGCATGCCACATTACAGAGGCACAGTCCCCCACATCCCCTGTTCACTGTGTCTCACTGCATCGCTCTCTCTCGTGCTTGATTTAATCTCATGTTGTTTAGTTCATCGTGGCCCTGGAAGCCATCAGATAGATAATATGCTGTATGTATAATGAATAGCCTGTGTGTGTGGTAGGCTACACCATGTAGGTTTGTGCAAGTACACTCTGTGATGTTCACACTATAACAAAACCACCTAAAGATGTATTTCTCAGAATCACATGGCTCTTCTGGATGTGCCTGGATTCTGTCCACAGACAGGGCAGGGTGGGGGGCTGTTACCAGGTCACTTGAAGTTCTTCATGTGTTATCCTACCTTAGTGTTTGAAGGTTCCACCCCACCTCATATCAAACATGCTAACAAATACCCCCTGCATACCTCCTTTTTCACTATAAAACATCTGAGTTTTTATAAATGTTTGGAAAATATTTGATGACAAGCTATTTTATTAAAAATAGCTATTTATTATTATTATTTGACTACAAGGTGTTATCATTATATTAAAATTTAGCTGTAATTTCTCGACAATTTTAGACATGTTTACAATTACTTGAAAAGCAAAGAAATCTAACACACATTTTTGCAAAAGTGGTGCGATTTTCATGAATCTTTAATGCCATCAATTAGAGAAATGGATGTATGTCATTTAAAGTGCCCAGTGGGTAGAGGCTCTGCCCACCCCCAACCTTGGAACTCTCAGTACTTCCTCCCCAGGGTTCCCCTGCAGGCTCAGGCCTGGGTTCTGTGGGTGAAAAGGACTGTGGGTAACCCACTAGCCTCAGAGAAGACACAATGACAATGGAATCCACAATGAAAACTCTCCATGTCTGAAACATGGGCATTTTATTAAAGATACATGAAGAACAGAGAATTCCTTTCTTGGGGGCAAAAAGGGACAAGTACTGGTCATAGGAGATCCAAGCACCATCAGGAAGTGGGGACCAGGGAACCCTTATCTAGAAAGGTAGGGAGAGAGCTGATTGGGTCTCTCCTAAGACAATAGAATATGTGGCTGGGTAGGGACACCTCTCAATTCAGTCTCCACACAATCGACTTCTTTCTCCAACCTCTCTAACTGTGTTTGGACTCAGTATTTCTAGCACACATCAGCCTACACTCTCCAGGGAGGCCAGAGCTGAATCCATGTGACAACCTTCATTCAGCCTCACCCAGAACTGTGCCATTAAATCTCAATGTGCATGACCCGCCAGCCATGGTTTCTATTGCTCCCAACTATGACCAGAAAAGTCAGCTTCAGAAACCCAGCAGGGGGCTTCTAGGTCACCTAAATTATCCCCTCATGCCACAAGTGGGAAAACCAAACCACAGACTTATGCAAAGTGGCCCAATGGGAGGTGTCCAGCCCTCTCTCCCTTGTAGCAAGCGACCTGTCTTCTAGCACAGTAGCTACTGTCTGCTGAGCAGTCACTTTGCTCTAGGCCTCTGCTTTCTCACATTAATTCTTATAACTTCCTGATAAGGCCATTATTTTAACCATCCAAAATGGAAAACTGAGATACAGATTGCCTGAGAGGCATGATACTCATCCCACCATGAGTGAGAGTGCTGGGACTTGCACAAAGACTTCAGAGACTGGAAGTAGGAAGGTTATACTTCTGTGGGCAGAAATGTAGGAGAAGAGTCAGAAGCAGATGGGCCAGCTAGGCCTGTTCAGATTTGGGGGACGGAGGAAGGTGTGTAGAATCCACTGGGCCTGCAGAGTTCGATCTCTCTGCCTTGTCTGTTCCAGGCACAGCTTCAACACCTCAGTGCCATCAAATCAGAAGTACATATCTTGGCAGGGCCTGATTGGTGGAAAGCAGCAAGAAGGATCTAGGTTAAGGATTTCTCAATCTTGGCACCACTGATGTTTTGACCTCCTAGATGGACTGGACCATCCGGGTAGGTTGATGGGGAAGGCAAGATTTTCCAAAGCCATGTGATAATGTCACCTACCTTGGTCTGATACAGGGCCTCAGCCTCAGGCTTGCTCCTCTGGGTGATTCTCTTCTCCTGGGCCTTGACCTCAGTGATGATTCTGTCCTGGTCAGAAAATGGTTGTTGTCCATGGAGAGGACCACAGATGTGTTGTTGGTTTCTGGCTGCAGCTGGGACAGCTTCTGCTGAGCCAGGCTGACATGGCCACTCCCAAGCAGACCCACATCAGGAGGACAGGGAGCCACCAGCTCAGCAGAGGGTTGGTTGCTCAGGACTCGTGGAGGGATAGGCGTTGGAGACTTTCCCAGAAGGCAATGGCCATGTCTATCACAGAAAATGAAAGTTCAGGGCAGAAGTTCAAATTGCCCAGGGAGAGAACAGAACTACTGTTGAGATGGGCAGGTGGACACTCAAACTCCTGCTGGTGGGTTTCTTCTCATTTAGAAGTCTATGGACAGAGAAAATTAAATTTCTTAGACTTGCAGAGTTGGAGGGACACTGGAAATTATCCAATCCAAGGAGAGCAAAGAGGTGAAAGGGCTTCTCTGGCTCTGAAAAGTTCATGAATGAGTTCAGGGTATCTCAGAAACCCATCCCCCAATTATTTATATACTATTTTATCAAATTCTCAAAACAGTTTCTTCCCCAAATAAGCGATAAACCAGCATTTTAAAGACTTGAATACTGAAACTCAGTGAAGGTGGGTTAAGCTCCCACAAGCCCCAAACCAGTTGGAACAGAGTTAAACTAAAACCAGGTGTCCTGGACCCTAGGCCAGGTCACTGTCATCTGCCCTGCCCTGCCCAGCCCAGGAAACTGAGTAGCATGCACTTCTCCTGGAAATCCTCTACTAGCTACTCCAGGGCCCTCACCCTGTCCTGCCTGTTCTCCTCCTGAGCAGCCTATCAGGGTGGCCTTGAGGTTGCTGATGTAGTTCTCCAAGAAAAGAGTCAAGGTGGTGGTTGTTGGTGTTGGAACGGAGTCCTGCTCCTGCGGGAGGCACCACTTGGTCTCTGGGGCCTCCTTCTGCTGCTCCTGGAAGGGCACCTGCAGCCCAAGAAGAAGAGAGCATCCAGAGAGCTATCTGGTGCCAACCACAGTCATGACAGTTCATGATGTCCCCAGAAATAAAGTCGCATCAGCCTCCCTGCCCCTCCAGCAGGTCTGCATTTTAATGCGACAATAGTTTGATGCTAATCCGATGTGAAGAGATGTTGGTGTAATACAGGTGGGTAGAGACCTAGTTTGCAAATAAGGAAACTGAAGCCAAGATAATCAAGGTCACACAAGGTAGTAACAAAACAACATGAAAACAGAGGTTTCCTGACACATAGGCTCACTATATCATCCATTCATCTATCATCAAATAACAGGGGATTCCAGCATCCTACAGCAGAGCAGACCCCAGGAAGATGTTTCCAGTCCTGGGAACACTGCATTAAGGGAGGAAATAGAGAAGACCATAGAGAAATGGCTCTCAGGTTGACCTTTCCTGAGAACAGGGTCTCAGATGCCCCTCTGCCAAACCCTGGTCTCTGAGCCCTGCTTTTAGACTTCACCACTAACTAAAGATATCTCAAATTTCATTTGCTACAAAACGTTCATGCACCCAAGTTTGAGGGCAAACATATAACCAGGTCAAATAAATATTAATCAACTGAGCCTGAGGGATCTTAGAGGAAGATTCCAAGTCAAGTTGGGGGAGGAGCCAGAGGCTGAGAATGAGCAGAGGCTGAGGAATAAAGAGCAAGAAGAGGGGCTGGAGTTGTGGCTCAGAGGTAGAGTGTTCGCCTACCATGCATGAGGCACTGGGTTCAATCAGCACCACATTTAAAAAAATAATAATAAAGATATTGCATCTACCTATAACTAAAAAGTGTTTAAAAAAAAAAGATCAAGAAGAGCTTGATCAACTCTTCTTGATCTTTTTTTTAAATACTCTCCAACTCTGCAAGTCTAAGAAAGGAGGATGCATGTGGGCGGGGAGAAGGAGAGCCAATCCAGGTGGGGCAGAGGACCAGACCATTGGCCACAGAGGCTACCAGCCTTTCCTCTTCCAAGCTCAGGTAAGGAAAATGAATCCAGGATTTCCAAGTCCCTCCCTCAGCTCGTGGGAGAGACTTTACCTAGGAAGCCCAGGTTCCTCACCAGTAGTACTTAGAATACTAATGGTTTATTCTCATGGCCATGGACAGGGGCCTGTATGAGAAAAGTTGTTTGTCACATATGGTGCGAATGTCAGTCACCTTGTTACATGCCCCCACTTCCTTCTGCAGCAAAGACCAGCCTCAATGACTCCACTCCTGATCACAAACCCCAGGTGCTCTTCAGGAAGTCTTTTAGGGGCAGTCACCCATGATAAATGTCCCTTCCCTTCCTTCTCTTCTGATTGAAACTATCAGTCCCCCACAGGCTCCCCAGTGTCCTTCCCTTACTATATCATCACCTCCCCTTGATCCACCCCTCATTCCTGGAGGCTCAGCACCTCTCCCCTTCCGGTGAGCTAACTGGGGGAGGGCCAGTTCCTCCCTCGGAATGAACTCAGTGTCCTCAGACTACTAGACAAGGAAGAGAAAGAGAAGCAAAACACACAAAGCGTAAATTCACACTGACACAGACAGACAGACAGACAGACACACCCTCTCATCATACTTCCCTGTCCGATCTTTTCCTTAGGAAACCTTAAGTCACCTCTGGACACTGTCCTCCTGGCCACCTTCAAAACCCTCATCCTACCCCATTCATTAGGGCTCAGATTCTTGCCCAAAGCTTCTCATAATCTAAGAAATCAAGTCATGGCAGCAGAATCCAAATAAGGGGCATGACTGAGAGGAAACTAGATCCCATCCCCCCTGGCCACCAGCTGAATCTTCTTTCTGGACCCTAGCCTCCTCCTCCACAATCTACAGCTGCAGACTTGAGCAGGGAGTTCATCCTAGATCTATTAAAGCCTCAGGGCTCAAAGGGGTTGTGGATGTGAGAGAAGGGGACACCAGTGGGAGATGTCTCATGGCCATTGCCATCTCACCCCTCCAAACCCATCTCTTGAAGAAAGGACTCTGCTTCTTAGAAGTGGAACTCCTGGCCCAGTGCCATCTGGGTCACTGTCCAGGCTGGCATCCCTGATGCTGAGGGTAGTCAGGCTTGGAAAAGGGATGGGGACTCACGACACATAAAGCTGCTCTCTGTTCACATGTGCAGCTGATACTGACTCCAAAATCCAAACAGTGCCTTGGGTTCCAAGTGTGGTTTTGAAACCCAAGAGCAAATGAGCAAATGAGATGTCCCATATTGTCTTTCTGTCCCCAGTTATGGCTTTTCAGATGCTTGCTATTGAACTACAGAACAACTAACTAGTTTCCACTTTCGACAGCTGCCCATGACCCGCCCTTTCTAAATGCACTAAGTCAGTTTGCATTTTAAATATGAAGAACAAACTCCAAAGAGATTGGAGTGGATGTTTGAGGCTTTAGTGAGGGCCCACCCCAAAACCTTCTTTGGCAGTGGCAAATCCCACTGCTCATCCCCACCCTGCAGGCTATAAGAGCCCCGCTGTCTCCTCCACTGCCTCTCAGGAAAGAACCAGAGTGTGCTGCTGCCCAGGCACAGCCAGCCCTGAATTAGCCCAGCTGGGCCTTTCCCTGGGGTGAGAGTGCTGGAGAGACACAGGCCCTGTGCCTCCCCCCAGGGCCATGGCTATGCCTCCCAAGCTGGCACAAGATCAGGGCCCCTCTGCTCTGGGGAAGCCTCACCCTCTCTGGGGAATTGGGAGTCAGAGAAACAATCACTCCTGCCTCAGGACAGCCCTAGCTTATCAGGGAAACAGGACACTTAGATGTGGGAGCTCAGGGCTAAGGACAGGGCCTGCCAGCACATGGCACAGCCACTCACACGGGGCTGGGCTGGGCACAGTGAGTGCAGCTGGCAAAGAGCCCTGCTGTGCAGGATGGTCCAAGGAGAACCTGGGGATGTGGCTGTGGCAGACAAGGGAGGGGCAGAGGAGGGGCAAGGACTAAGCTCTCGTTCCCTGGGGAGACTGCCCTGGCCTGTGGTCTGCAGTTGGAGGGAGCATTGCTCCCAAGGAACTTTAAGACTAGGAGAGCTCTGAGCAGTCTTGTTGAGGAGGGCCAGTTTCATGGCATCTAAAGCTCAGGAAAGATCTTGGGGCAGGTAGCTGCGGCTGTGAGCTGGGCTCAGCTCCAAAGGAGAGGGCCCTGAGGAGTGAGTCAGCCTCTTTCAAGCACCCAGACCCAGCCACCCAGCAGGCCAGCAGAGCAGGGCACGGAGAGCACCCTGGACAGAGCGGGAAGCCTGAGTTCTAGCTCCAGATCCCTCCAGGGTGCTTTTAGCCACTCATAAAATGCAGCCGCTCATACTCTGCTTTGCCTACTGAGTGTTAATTTGGAGGGTCAGGGGAGTCAAATATGTTAAAGGGCTTTATCAACTAGATAGTAGATGCTGTGTTAACTGAGGGATTGTAACCACAACAAAGTCCAGTCATGGAATGCTGGCCAGGTGGCAGGGTCTACAATTAACAATTATAGATCTCCTCCCATTCAAACCTCATAGCAACCCTACAGGGAAGGGTTTGTAGCTCCATTTTACAGATGAGGAAAACTAAGGCTCAGGAGTTAAATAATGTCTCCAAGAACCCACAGTCAATGAGTGCCAGAGCCAGGCTTCCAATTCAGTTTTGCCCAATCTGGAGCCCATGCTAGGGAGCAAGATGTGCAGCACTTGATCTCCGGAAAAGACTCGCTGTGTGGGCTCCCACAAGGCAACCTGTTTGTGCCCCTGCCCAGCCTCAGCCTGTGGGACTCTGGCTACTGAAAAACTGATGTGGAAATGGACCCCACACTCGCATAGCGCGGTCCTCCAAGACCACTTTGTGTTGTTTCCCCATGAAAGGGGATGGTTTGAGGGAGCACCCTGTTGAGAGCCACAGCCGAAGGGGCCCCAGCAAACTTCCAGCTGCCAGCAAACTTCCAGCTGCCGGCTGATGATTGGCTCACAGCGGCCCCAGCAACATCTAGCTGATTGGCTCCTCTGCGGTGATGCTCATTGAGCTGTTTCCCTGCCCTTTCAGACCACGGAGCTGCTCATTGGGGGACTTTTTTGGCTCCGCCCATGTGACCCAGCCAATCGGCCTCAAGAGCAGGAGGATTGTGGGAGGTGGAGAGTGGCTTGTGGGAGAGAGAGGCTTGTGTTGGAGAGAGAGGCTTGTGGAAAGCCGGTGGTGGCAGTTGGGGCTCTGAGGGTTTTTCCTGAGAGGCTGTTTTGTTTGGCATGTGTGGTTCTAAAAATAAAGTTAGTTTCTTTTGACAAGTGGCTCCTGATTGTGCCCAGCCAGACTGCGGCATTTGGTGGCTCGCACGGGGAGCGACTGAGGGTAAGTGATAAGGTAAACTGCTCGCCCCTGAGGGCAGGGCGAGAGGATGGTAGCCATTTTAAGATTCCTCTTTTGTTTTGCTTCACTTTTGTTTTAAGTTGCCTGTCCCTGGAGATGAGTGAGATGGAAGAAAAACCGCTCACATCTGAGGAAAAACTATTTGCATCTGAGGAACAGATAGGGAGAAAGGTTATAATGATTTTTTGTTGTTCCATTTTTATTTCATTCTATCTCGGTTTTGTTTGGTGTTATCTTGTTGGGTTGTATTATAGTAGAAATATGGGATCAGAAATTAGTAAAAAACAAACCAAAAGAGTGTTAAGTAAATTGTTAGGGGAAGGAGGCATCCCAGTAAAATCAAGAGCAGTCAGGGCATACGTTGATACAATACAAAAATGTAGCCCATGGCTTTTTAAGGAGGAGTTGTTAAATATATCACAATGGAACCATCATGGTGAAGATTTAAAAAGAAAAGAAAAGAAAAGCCCAGGGACTCTGCCAGTTGGCACATTGCCATTATGGACGTTCATATCTTGTTTGCTTAGTTCAAAGCCTTCAGTTCAGACAATGGTAGAGGAAGGAGAAGACATATTGATTCAAGTAAAAGAGAAGGTCTCTCAAGTTAGTCAGACAGAGGAAATGATTCAAGTAAAAGAGA